TGAAACCAGCTCAAGCTGCAGCCATTACAATTCAAATTCAAGCACTCCTGGAGAAGGGTGCTCTTGTCAAATGTGAATCACCATGCAATACTCCATTATTTCCAGTAAAGAAAAAGACTCCAAAAGGCGAACCAGAAAAGTACAGATTGGTCCAAGACCTCAGAGCGGTAAATGAAGCCACAGTTTTGGACACTCCAATAGTGCCCAACCCACACACTCTCCTTTCCGGCGTTCCACCCTCTGCCAAGTACTTCACTGTCATTGATCTAGCCAATGCCTTCTTCAGTGTTCCCCTGGATCCAACTTGCCAATATCTGTTTGCTTTCACACATGACAAACAACAGTACACATGGACTGTCATGCCCCAAGGGGCACAAAATTCACCAAGTCAATTTGCGAAGGCCATGTGCTCTATCCTTGATCCATGGCAATCTGACCACCCTGAGGTCGTCCTGCTTCAATATGTGGATGATTTGCTGCTTTGTGGAGATGATATACCCACAACAGAACAATGCTCACTTAATCTTCTTTGCTACCTAGCAGAACAAGGATGTAAAGCTTCACGTCTCAAGCTGCAATTCTGCCAACCTACTGTTATCTTCCTTGGCCATTGTCTGTCTCAGGGAACCAGACATCTTACCCGTGACCGAGTTAGAGCAGTACTGGACATTCCACCTCCAAGGACCTCAAAGTCACTACACGCCTTCCTAGGCCTCATTTCCTATTGCCGAGCATGGATCCCAGAAGCCTCGCTCCTTATGCAACCTCTTTATGATGCTCTCAAGTCAGACCCATTTTGCTTGTCCACAGAAGCCCTTGACAACTTCTGTTCTCTCAAACGTGCTATTGCTTCTGCTCCTGCTCTTGGCCTACCAGACTATACCAAACCCTTCAAATTGTTTGTTTCTGAAAGACAAGGCCATGCAACAGGAGTACTCACTCAGGCTCATGGTCCTGGAGGCCGCCAAAGGCCTATTGGATTTTTCTCCTGCCAACTGGATATTGTGGCCAGAGGACGTCCCTCTTGCCTTCGGGCCGTCTTTGCTGCCAGAGAGCTCATTGAAAGAACTGGAGATCTTGTCCTTGGCCACCCCCTGGTTGTCTTGGCCCCTCATGACATTTCTGCCATAGTCAACCAGGTCCAACTTAAGCATGTTACTCCTGCCAGGCATCTTCGCCTTCAATGTCATCTTTTGTTGCCTGACAACATTACCCTCCAAAGATGTCAAGTTCTCAATCCGTCCACTCTTCTGCCACTCCCTGAGGGGGGTGTATACTACGGATTCATCATGGACGAAACTTATGTTTTTCTTCTCACTGGCACCATCAAGAAGGAAATGCATCCCAACCTATCCTTTTATGATGGACAAGCACTCCTTCATGACGGAGCAAGACATGCCTTCTGTACCATGTGGTACAAACCAAACATCACTCCTGAACCCTGCTATGAAGATGAACTCTATAAGCTGGTTGAAGTAAAACTCACTGCACAAGACTTCTACTGTGATTCTGAAGGCAACAGTATGGTCTTGATTCATCTACCTCCGGAACTCAAGCATTTGTACCGTCATTGGGACACTGCCATTCCACATGTCCCTGTGACCAAGTTGAAAACAATATCATGGAATGATCTTGGGCCTATGGCAAAAGCATGGGCCACTATGGACGAATCACAGCTACAGGAAAATGGTGTTGTCAAATATCCAACAACTGACCACCTAAAAGCATGGCCGCGTCATTTCCTGGAGAATGAGTTCCAAGATTTAACCATAGTGAATGACTACGACCCAGATACACCTCATGACTGTTTTGAACAGATGAAAATGGAAACAACACATCTACCAACTGTGCATGAAGACCCATTGGTAGATCCCGATCTCACCCTGTTTGTGGACGGCTCAAGATATGCTGATGAAGAAGGAAGATACCATACAGGATATGCCGTAACCACAACAGATGAAATTGTCAAATCATCATCTTTACCATCAACTATGTCTGCACAAGAAGCTGAATTGCAAGCCCTGACTTCAGCATGCAAGATCTCTGAAGGAAAGCGCGCCAATATCTACACGGATTCAAGATATGCACTGGGCGTGGCTCACGACTTCGGATTAATTTGGAAAACAAGAGGATTTCTTACCACCGCCGGTACACCAATCAAGCACGGTTCCGCAATCAAGGAGCTGATGGACGCCCTCCTACTCCCAGAAGAAGTGGCTATTTTAAAGATAAAAGCACATGGGAAGTTGGACACAGATGAAGCAAAGGGCAACCATCTAGCTGATCAAGCTGCAAAACAAGCTGCAAGAGAACCACAGGAAGTGGAAAGAAGAGTGTCCGGAAATGAAGAGACTCCCATATTTACTCTGCAGACTCTTCCAACTGACCTGAAAATCCTGCGGGAACAACAGGCTACAGTTGCCCCTGAAGAAATACAGAAGTGGAAACAGAAAGGGGCAGTTCTAAGAGATGGAGTGTATTACAACAATCTCAGATTCTGCCTTCCTAAGAATCTATACCCAGCAGTTGTTCAGTGGGCACATGGCCCTGCACACCTATCAAAAGATTTGATGATTGCCCTTGTACAGAAGTACTATGAGGCTCCTGGAATTACCACGCTAGCCAGCAATTACTGCAAAACGTGTGTCATCTGCGCCAAGTGCAATCCGGGGAAAATGACTAAAGTCCCTCCAAAACACTTGGCCAAGCCCATGTACCCGTTTCAAAGAATTCAGATAGACCACATCCAGATGCCAAAGAGTGGCAACTTCGAATATGCACTAGTAATAGTAGACATGTTCTCAGGCTGGCCAGAAGCCTACCCAGTGGTTAACATCACCGCAAAAACAACAGCAAGACGGCTACTTACAGAAATTGTATGTAGGTTTGGATTACCAGAAGTCATTGAAAGTGACCAAGGCCCAGCTTTCACAGCATCAGTAACTAAAGAGATTTGGGCCGCCCTAGGAGTGACCCTTGCCTTCCACACACCTTATCACCCACAAAGCAGTGGTAAGGTGGAGCGTATGAATGGCACCCTGAAAACTAGAATGCTAAAATGTCGCAAGAAACAAAAATGCCCTGGCCCGAAAGCTTGCCAATAGCCCTGTTTAGTGTCAGACATACACCTAGAGGGAAGCCCTCATTGTCCCCTTACGAGATTCTATTCGGGTCAGCACCCAGGCTAGGTTGCTATTTTCCCCAGCAATTACAACTTCATACTGATGTTTTAGTAAACTATGTAACTGAACTTGCCAATGCTTTGAACAAAATCCATGCCCAAGTTTTCTCTTCAATTCCAGATCCTGATTCTGACACAGGCAACCACAGTCTGCTCCCCGGTGACTGGGTTCTGGTCAAGAAATTTGTGCGAAAACACACCCTGGAACCAAGATTTGACGGACCGCTCCAAGTTCTCCTGATCTCCCCTACCTCTGTCAAATTGGCCGGAAGGCCTAACTGGATCCACGCTTCCCATTGCAAGAAGACACCTGCCCCAGAGGAAGCTAACTCTATGCAACCATGTGCCTCTGGTACATTATCTCCTTAGTTGGCCTCCTTAAAGCCCAGCAGGTGGCCATCACCAAAGATGCTAGTGGGTACACTTTCTGGTATAATTCATCATGTACCCATGTGGCTACATTCACTTTTGATTACTGTGATATTGTAGAGTGCCCATTCCCTAAGTCACAGATTCAAGCCATTTATAAAGATATACCACAAGCAAAAGACCCTTACGTTTGTGTAGTAGATGAACAATGGGGTTATGACTGTAACTACTGGGGGGCTGCGGGATGGAATACTGGGCCTGCCTGGGGTTATAAACCCAAAAGTGCTTTATCTAAGATAGACAATCAGGGTAGATCCCTCCTTCAAAGAATGACTTTAAGAAAGCCTGGAGGAAGTACCCCTATGAAATTAATGTTAAATATTGAACATCCTGGCCCCGAGGATGCAGACCGATATGTAATGGGAATGTATTGGAAGAAAGGTTCCTACAACAAATTAGGTCATTTCTACCTCAGAGATATGTCCCACTCTCCAGAGTGGCAAGGGGCTGATCATATGGTCCCAAATCCGCTAAAACCACATATCCAGTCCTTTAAAGATATGATGGCCATCGCTAACCCAACTTTTGAAGATACCATGGCCGCTGAAACTGGATTCAATGACATTAATTTGTGGTTAGAATGGATGAGGTATAATGCCAACAAACATAATAAAACAGCATGTTATGTATGTGGCGGTGCCCGACCCCACCTTGGCACCGTCCCCCTAACTCTCCCTTTAGAGATAGAAGATTGCTTCTTAAGCCTTTTTGCCTACCAATATGACTTTAATAGGTCCCTCTGCATGGCATGGACGGCAGAATACCCTCTCTTAGTTGAAAATGTTAAGCCACCAGATGGAGTCACAGTCTATAGAGGTAATTACACTTGTTATGCCATGTATGACGGGATTGGTAAATTCATGGGTAACTTTTCTAAAGGTTATTGCGCCACTTACAGAACTGTTCCTATACGCCTGTTGCAACACCATACCAGGTCATTGGGGGATATTTACTGGTTATGTGGGGATCTACAGTTAAGATCTAGGCTGGAAACTGAGTGGTGGGGTGAGTGTACCCTGGCCAAAGTTATCATGCCCATTCATATTATTTCTGATAATCATCATGACACATACGACCCTCCACATACATCAGCCAGAGTAAGGCGCGAAACCCCAGTAAAAGGCAGTTTTGACCCCCACATTTACATAGATGCCATTGGGGTGCCTAGGGGGGTACCTAATGAATTTAAAGCTAGAGATGAAGTAGCTGCAGGTTTTGAATCACTTTTTACCATAGTCACTGCCAACAAAAACCTTAATTGGATTAATTATATCTATTACAACCAACAGCGCTTCGTGAACTACACCAGGGATGCCCTCCAGGGCTTGGCCGAGCAATTACAGGCCACATCCCAAATGACCTTCCAGAACAGACTGGCCTTAGACATTATCTTAGCCGAAAAAGGGGGAGTCTGTAAAATACTTCCCGACACTATGACTTGTTGCACTTACATTCCAGAAAACACAGGTCCTAATGGTAAAGTCACTCTAGCCATAGCTAAATTAAATAGACTCTCAGAGGAGTTAAAGAGAAACTCTGGAGTTACTGATCCCTGGGAAAAATGGTTTGGTTGGATGACTGGTTGGCAGAGAGCTTTAGTCCAGATTGGTATTGCCTTACTAATTTTTCTTTTTTATTCTCGCTCTTCTCATTTGTTGTGTCCTCCCATGCCTAAGGAAATTCCTGCAGAAAACTGTAAACCAAGCAACACCAACCTTCACTCATCTGACAATCGATGATCAAGACCTCATCTCACCCTGTATTCCGCTACAAACTCTCCCGTATACTGATGAAGTGCAGAAAGTCTAGGAAGGGACAGTACAGGGACAGCGTCCGTCTTTATGGGTAGACTGCCGTACGGAGAAGTAGTGGATAAGCCACTATGGGTTACCAGCGGAGTGAAGAGTGTTCCTGAACCGTACTGACGGATGTGCTGCAGCCTGTTAGGGTCAAGAGAGGGATAGACTTGCACTTTGCATTAACACTAAGTCAGCGGTCATGGGGTTTCTGTGTCTTTGGGCTAATACTTCTTCTGATACTAACAAATAAAGTTTTGTCTTTTAGCAAATAACATTTTAGGGGGGACTGTTGTAGAATTATTAGGCCTCTATAAATTTGTAAGGCCCCTTTAAATCCTCTTGCTATACCTCTAAGAGGCCCCCATAGTTTTACAAGGAAGCTTTGTCTATAGAACATAGAATTTGCATGTCAGCAAGAAATAGCTTTGATAAAATGTGTATTTACTAAAATCCTTGAAACTTAACCTTGAGAAACTAACAAGTGCCAGCTACGCTCCAAATGGATAGCTGCCAAAAGGCCCCTCCCGTCGAGTGAGCTCCTCATTTTAACAAAATGGCGCTAAGACCTGTAGGAGTTAAGAAATTACGTAGATAGTGACCTAAGAATGGGGAGGGCATTTTACTAACATCTTAGCACCTAAGCCAATTAACAATGTCTATTTGTCTATATCTTGATTTTCTTCAATGATGTAATAATGCCTTTATAAGGGTCTGCGCACCCATTTTCTGTCAGAAGCCATTAAACTTCTCTGAAGTTCTTTCATTACCCTGAACCTTGTGTCTCAGTGTGAATTTACTTCTGCGTGCACGCAACTTTATTATCTTTAATTTGGACAGGAACAGATAGTCATTCAAACTAATTGGTTTGCAGTAAATTATCTAGAACAATAGCCCTAGGTGAACATCATGGGAGAGTAGACACATACACATGGTCCTAGCTGTATGGCTCAAATAAATACATATTCACCAAACTAATACATCCTTTTATTTTTATAATTATGATATTTTATTAATTTTACCAAAAAAAAAAACACCAATAAACAAAATACAATTTGAGACCCCTGGCTATTGCATTTCCATAATCTTTTCTCATACTGTCAGCAGCCTAGCACATTACAGTAAGTGCCATTCAAGAGAGCATTTTAATTTGCTGGAATGTCCTTCTAAATGCTATCTTTACATCCTTATTTTTCAAGCTGTATATCAGAGGGTTCATTAAAGGGACGACAACAGTATACAGAAGAGAAGAAAGCTTGTCTACTTCAGAGGAGGACAAAGAGATGGGTCTGAGATATAAGCAGAACAGTGTCAAGTAGAAAAGGATGACGACAGTCAAATGTGAGGAACATGTGTAGAAGGCCTTGTATCGCCCAGAATTAGAATGAATGCTTACTATGGAATTAATTATGAGTATGTAAGAGAGGAAAGTAAGGCAAAAGGGGGTAAAGCCAGTAAATATTGACTCAATTCGGATTATCAGTTCCATAAAAGTGATTCCACTACAAGATAACTTCAGTAGGGCTATCATCTCACAAAAGAAGTGGTTGATCTCTCTGGAGATGAAGCAAGTAAGACGTAGCACCACACATAGCAATGGAAGAGCCTGTGCGAAACCCAAGAACATAGACAGAGTGATGAGCGCAATGCAAAGCTTACAATGCATGATAGTCTGCTAATGCAAGGGGTCACAGACTGCCACGTAGCGATCATAACTCATGGTAGTAAGTAGCATTAACTCAGAACCTCCGAAGGACATGTAAAAATACATTTGTGCATGGCAGGCCTGAATCGAGACACTGTGATCTCCAGAAACAAAAGTATCCAAAATCTTGTGTAGGGCGACTGTGATGTAACAAATATCCAGCAATGATAGATTGCAGAGGAAGAAATACATAGGAGTATGAAGAGTGGAATCCAGGAAGACGAGAAGAGTGATTGTAATGTTACCTCCAAAGATAAATATGTAGACCAGTAAGACTAGAATGAAGATGGGAGGCTGCAGGACAGCTAAACTGGAAATCCCTTTAATAATGAAATATTGAGGCAAGGTTTGGTTGGTTTCAGATGGCATCCCTTCTTAAGATTTACAATTCTACAAGAGATAGAAAACAAATAACAGAAATGTCCTCATACATTTACAGCTTGTCTATTTGTCTCAAACGTTGCAACTGAATTGCTAGATAATAGCTATGAGAAATAAATGTGTACATATCAAGGTATAGGTTTGTTACATGTGGACTAAATGAAATAACTGTTGACATGACAGATAATCGAGACTTAAATTTCATAACAAAGAAAAGTGTCTTGAAGACCTTCTGGGTTATTCACTAAACTCAGAATTTGTACAAAATAATAACGAACATCTAACCTGAGATAAAAATAGTTGATGTGGAATATGTTTCCAAGTTACTATAGTGACAGTCTACTTTTCCTCTATTTTACTGTTAGGAATTAATTTGTGTTAATGTTTACAGTTATACCTACAATTTCTTCTTCTGTCCTTAAACATTTCCATAAACATGTGCGTTGAAAAAGAAAAGGATGCGGAGAGAAATTACTGAGAGAAAAAAATCAGATATTGAGCAAAAGGGAAAACTGTACCAGATAAGAAAAGCAGAATAAAAACAAAATAAAAACAACCTTATAACATGTACACAGTCAACTGCATTTTTAAAGGTAACACTACCAGCTCCAACACATAGTTAATGCATTTTACAGCTTTATTTTTTGCATGCAGAATTTATATAGTTATGCAGCTTTCTGCCCTATTTCACCCATTCTAAAAAAATATTGAGAAACAATTGTAAAGCCTTTAATGGCACAGAACATCCATGTGCTTTTGGGTCAGTGGTTCTTAAAGGATCACTATAGGGTCAGGAACACAAACATGTATTCCTGACCCTATAGTGTTAAAACCACCATCTAGCCCCCCTGGGCCCCTCATCCCTCCATAAATATAGCAAAATCTTACTGTATTCAAGCCTGAAGCTGTAACTCTGCATGCTGTTAGACTCAGAAAAACAAGCAGTCTGCTGACATCATCAGAAGTGGTAGCCTGATCCAATCACAGTGCTTCCCCATAGGATTGGCTGAGACTGACAAGGAGGCAGATCAGGGGCAGAGCCAGCATCATTCAAACACAGCCCTGGCCAATCAGCATCTCCTCATAGAGATGAATTGAATCAATGAATCTCTATGAGGAAAGTTCAGTGTCTGCATGCAGAGGGAGGAGACACGGAATGTTTGGATGCATTTTAGGCAGCCATGACCCAGGAAGGATCTCTAACAACCATCTGAGGAGTGGCCAGTAAAGTTATCACTAGGCTGTAATGGAAACACTGCATTTTCTCTGAAAAGACAGTGTTTACAGCAAAAAGCCTGAAGGTAATGATTCTACTCACCAATAAACTGTAGTTATTCTGGTGACTGTAGTGTCCCTTTAACGTCTAGGTTTGAACTCAAAGCAGACCCCCTATGCTTTTTGACTCCTTTTGGTTGGAAAAGCCACATTATCAGGGTTATTCACTAAATCAACTTTGACCTTTAATGTAAAATTCATTTTGAATTTGATTTCAATTCTTACTTTATTGAATAAACCCGGTGAAAGTAGCTAATTTATAACAAGAAACGGAAACAAAGGGATAAGCCAAGTAAACAATGAGTCCCACATTAGTGTCTTGCAAGTTTCTGATCAAAGAATTAAACATGATAAATTTCCGTCTTATTCCATATTAGGGAGATATTTTCCCAATTTGTCTGCCTTTTGCTAGCTGGTCTGCACCTGACAATTGATTAACACCATCACTGTTTGGTGAAGAGACCCTCATTGAACCGCTCACGTGTACATGGGGTTAATGTTGCTAATTGTGTTTCAGATACAAGTTGTCTTTTACAGTACGACTTACACTGTAAAATGCAGCAGTACATCACATTTCTACATATTTCATTAGCTTCTGTCTTTTGTCAGAGACTAATCCCAGCAAATCTTTCTGGATGAATGTGTGCATGTGTCCTTAAAGTAATAGCACAATACCTACCAGGAGGGTTCCATACCTCGTCATACATTCCCTAGTCCATTAGAGACCCAGTAGATTAAGATTATTGATTATACTTGCATGTTTGTGTCTGTCTGTCTGTCTGCATGTCTCTCTATCTGTCTGTCTATCTATCGGTCCATCTAGCTCTGTCTTTGTGTATCACCATTTAACTATATATTATGTACAAACATACCTTAAAATCAGGTCAGATTAGTGCAGTATATAAGCAGGATCGATAAACACAATAGTAATTTGAGAATGAAATTAATAGCAGACAATTCTTGGAAAGAGAAAATGAGACGGGAAGGCTGATTGAAAAAAACTAATCCTTGTATGTCCTCATCTTTATACAGAGAGCAGTAATCTGATGATCTATTGTCCTGTACGGAGGTTGGTTTATTTAGAACAGAAATTAACACAAATCAATATCCACTATGTGAGCGATAGTGTCCATACGCAAATCAAAACAATTAAATAATAAGCACACAAATAGAAATCAGCTGAAAATACAGAATCAATCGTGATAAAAATACTAAATATAAAGCAATAGGCCTGGGCTTACCAGAACACAATAAAGGTTACAAAACACAATAAATACATAGAAGAAGGTTATAATAACCAATTATTATGGTTAACTAAAATAATGTATCGCTAACTTTTTCCAATTTAACCTATTGGCTATTATAAGGTTTATTGTGTAAAACCAAGTTCTGGTTAGCACTGGCAAATAGTTTTATATAAATAAATGTCACAGCACTTCACCTGCTCGAAAGAGATCCTCTGGTAATATGGTTCTCATAGAGCGTTATTTAAATGATATCATGTGCTGAGGATAAAGCCCGTCGGATTAGTTAAGATAATAACTCCCACATTAGAGTTTTATTTTTACTAGTTTATGTCTCTCGTGTGAATAAAGGCTATTTACGTTGCATCATAAACACTGTGTAATCTGCAAATAAACTGTTGGCAATAATACACTTTGCCTATACAACAAACTATTCTCCTCTTAAAGAGACAGTACAGGCTGGAGGTTCTCATTATGTATCATGTAAAGGGCTCCACGGGGCAATGGCAATTTAAAAATAAAATAAAGTGCACCGTGGCATGTGTGGAGCCTGGCTCTACCGGTAAATGACACGCTGCTAGGCTGAACTCCATCTGCTGCGGACTACACTTCCCATGATGCTATTTGGCCGAGGAAGGAATGTAATATTGCAACGTGCTGTGGAATAGTTTGGCGCTATATAAAATGATAATATAAATAACGATAATAAAAATACTGATAATATAAATGATAACATAAATATTGATACTATAAATAATGATACTATAAATAATAATACAAATATTGATAATATAAATTTTGATAATATAATGATACTATAAATAATGTTAATATAAATAATGATAAAATAAATATTGATGCTATAAAAAAATGATACTATAAATATTAATATAAATATTGATAATATAATGATAATTTAAATATTGATACTATAAATAACTATACTATAAATAATAATTTAAATATTGATAATATAATGATACTATAAATATTTATACTATGAATAATTATATAAATATTGATAATATAATGATACTATAAATAATGATAATATAATGATAAAATAAATATTGATACTATAAATAATCATACTCTAAATAATAATGTAAATATTGATCATATAAATATTGATACTATAAATAATGATACTATAAATAATATAAATAGTGATAATATAATGATAATGTAAATATTTGTCCTATAAATAATTATACCATAAAGAATAATATAAATACTGATAATATAATGATACTATAAATATTGATACTATAAATAATGATACTATAAATAATAATATAAATATTGATAATATAATGATAATATAAATATTGATACTATAAATAATGATAATATAAATAATGATAAAATAAATCATGATAATGATAACATAAATATTGATACTATAAATGATACTATAAATAATAATATAAATATTGATAATATAAATATTGATATTATAATGATACTATAAATAATGTTAATATAAATAATGATAAAATAAATATTGATACTATAAAAAATGATACTATAAATATTAATATAAATATTGATAATAAAATGATCATTTAAATATTGATATTATAAATAATTATACTATAAATAATAATTTAAATATTGATAATATAATGATACTATAAAAATGTATACTATGAATAATAATATAAATATTGATAATATAATGATACTATAAATAATGATAATATAATGATAAAATAAATATTGATACTATAAATAATTATACTCTAAATAATAATATAAATATTGATAATGTAAATATTGATACTATAAATAATTATACTATAAATAATAATATAAATATTGATAATATAATGATACTGTAAATAATGATACTATAAATAATAATATAAATATTGATAATATAATGATAATATAAATATTGATACTATAAATAATGATAATATAAATAATGATAAAATAAATAATGATAATGATAATATAAATATTGATACTATAAATAATGATAGTAGTAATGAAAAAGGAGAAGAATTGAGTGCCCTAATAAAACTTAAGACATAACCTTTAATAGTTTTGATAATAAAAATAAAGCAAGCTTAAGACTTAGCCCAAAAATATCTGGCATTTGGTAATTTATATTATCACAGTGTGGCAAACCTAGCCACTCGGACTATAACTGGACACTGTGCCTTTAAGGGTTGCCTATAGGTCTGGAGAGAGATGCATTGTACCTGTATGTGCCTGCTTCATGTATTCCCTGCATTTCCTGTACCTATCTGTTCCGCCGAATGCAAATGGCGGTTTGTATGGGGATTCCCGTTCGTTTCGCGAACGGCACTTTGGAAGGCCGTTCGTGAAACGAATGCGATACCCCCTAATAGCCCACACACTTAGAGGCGTGTGGCGCTAGTTAACCGATTGCAACATTGTTGCAATCGGTTATTAGAGGCTCTCCTGGGTGGCCGTCGTTCGACTACCGACCATGCGGCGGGCGGCCATCTTGGATCCCTGGTTCGTCAGCGGGTCCGTGTCGTCGAACGCATAGCATTCCCAACAGTTATTCGACGGCACGAACACCGTTAAGCCTCCAGGACGTTCGGGAGTTTCAGGACCAGGTTCATTAAAGACAATCGGTTCTTTTCATGTGTTTTGAAAGAAAGGTGTTTTCTGTGCGGCGTTCGGTTATTTTAGCTGGGATCTGAGCGGCAATCTCACGAATGATGCGCCCAGACCCCAGCTATCTACCGAACGTCCATTCGTGTAAATCCACCGTATATTGTAACCAACTGTGGATTTTTGTGTGAATTGCCGGTTCTGCTGCACGAGGGGATAATCCCCTTAACGGTGCATTCTGGGAGGGTGATCCCTCTCGTGCAGCGGTGCCTGATGGGAGAAATATGTAGTACAGTAAGTCCCCCATGTAGTCCCCTCCTGTACAACCCCTGTAATGTCTGTTTGGAAACCCCTTGCATGGGGAATTGCATAAATACTGTGACCTGTGATTAAAACCTCAGTTGACTCCCAGCCTATGTGTCGTCTAGTTCTTGGGAAGGAAGGGTTACTGCAGTGCTGTTTGGATTATTATATGCTGATTCCCTGGATTATCCTTTGTTGTTCCTGTTACCCAGCGGAGATATCGTGGATCATACTGCCTCTCCGCTACAATTGGTGGCAGCGGTGGGATTGAATTTACACAGCAAAGCAACGTTCGGCAGATTTTTAAACGAATCAAGGAACCAGCATTCGGGAATCAGCGCATTCGAATAAACCTCACGAACAGCAGGTGAATGGGAACAGACTACACCCTGCTAAAACGGAGCACATTAAAGGAGCTGCTGGAAGCAAGAGGAGCAATCGCCAGTAACAAGGCAAAGGCTGTCCTAATTACGGAGCTCATGGAAGGAGACAGAGCCGCAGCTGCTGCAGCACCTCAAATGGAGGGACAAAACAACGAATTTACAGCGGAATTCCGAGCACGAATGGCTTTATTTCCTGAACCACCATCTACAGAAATGTTTAACCGGCTGTTCGCCGATGTACAGGAGTACATTATGGCTAGGGGACCGCCAGGAAACCAGCAAGCCAGAGAAAGAGCCGCAACGCCAGTCCATAGTTTCCCAGGGAAAACCAAAATCCCATATCAAGCCTTCAAAAGCTATGTGGAGACAGAGGGTGGCGTTGACGACTATTTACAAGATTTCGAGAGACTGTGTTTGCTGCACGAGATTAATGATGCAGACAGAGTACCCCTACTAGCGGGGAGATTATCTGGGCGAGCCGCCGAAGCGTACCGGGCAGTACCAGACGAGGATAGTAGAGACTACGCTAAAGTAAAACGGGCCATCCTAGCCCGGTATGCCATCACCTCAGAGGCCTACCGAAAGAAGTTTCGGGACATTAAAAAACCCAGTAAGGACACCCATGTGGAGTGGGCGCACCAGCTACAACGAGCTGCCAAAGGGTGGCTGGAGGCCGCCCAAGTTGATACATTGGAGGGTCTGTTCCAGCTAATGGTACTGGAACAATTCTTCAATGGCGTCCCAACCTACCTACAAAACTGGATCCGGGACAGGAAGCCACACACCCTGCAGGAAGCGGCTAATATGGCAGACGATTTCCAGGACAATCGGAGAGATCAACCCATACCAACCCGAGCCACCATTCCCCCTACAACGGCCAGCCCTCCAGGGGGCCCCGCAACGTACCAGCGACCAGGGGTAAACCAGAATTCCTACCCCAGATGATACAAAAGCTGCGTCCGCAATCCGGTGCCATACCTGCAGCAACAGGGGCACATCCAGAGAGACTGCCGCGGAACGGCCTCGACCTAGCTGGAATAACGCCGCCCCGAGCAACCGTGCCGCAGTCCACTGCCTACAGGCCGAATCCGACCAAAATCTGGAGTTGGGGACGACCCGGGAGGAACCTCTCGGTACTCTACACGAGGTGAACCCTATCCAGGCCGCCTCCGATAACCGCCAAGGGCACCGCCAGGAAGTACACATGGAAGGGAGGAAAGTACAAGGACTTCGTGACTCGGGAGCCACCCTAACTCTAGTACGCAGTCATCTGGTACCAAAGCCCAAGCTCACGGGCGACTGTGTGGCTGTGCGGGTGGCTGGGGGAGCCATTTACAAAGTACCCACGGCCAAGGTACACTTGAATTGGGGAGCGGGGCACGGGAATGTATATGTGGGGATGATGCAAGACTTGCCAGCGGATGTGATTTTGGGCAACGATTTGGGGGAGCTGACTTCGGCTTTTGTTCCACAGCCCACCGTACAAGAAGCATACCCGGTTGTGACCCGGCAACAGGCCCGCACCACTGCACCATTCGAACACTCTGAGGCTCAGGTAAGCAATGACCCTCCACTACCCCCTACCCTGCCCTGGGCCAATTCCATAGAGTTCGGGGCCGAAGTAGCCCTAGATCCTTCGTTACAGGTGTACAAAGACCGCATGGATAAAAATCAAGCTGGGTTAGAGGGGGAAAGATATATCTGGGACAAAGGGCTACTATATCGGCACGCAGAGAAGGTAGTGTCCGGGTCAATACCGTTGCCCATTAAACAGCTAATAGTGCCTCGAAAGTATAGGTTAGAGCTGTTACGCATAGCCCATGATATCCCCCTGTCTGGACACCTAGGCATCAGTCGGACCAAGCACAGGCTGACCCAAAATTTCTTTTGGCCAGGTATTTCCCAGGATATTAAGCGGTATTGTCAGACCTGCGATACCTGCCAAAGGGTAGGCAAGAGGGGAGACAGATACAAAGCCCGACTACGGTCTCTGCCCATCATTGAAGAACCATTCAGTAGGGTGGCAGTAGACATTATAGGTCCCCTCGCAAAACCCAGCCCCTCCGGCAAGAAGTATGTCCTAACTGTGGTGGACTACGCCACCCGGTACCCCGAGGCAGTGGCCCTAACGAACGTACACGCAGAAAAGGTAGCCGAGGCCCTGATGAGGATATTCACCCGGGTAGGATTTCCCCGGGAGATTATCTCCGATAGAGGCACCCAGTTTACTGCGGAAGTGACCCATCAGCTCTGGAAAATATGTGGGATACAACAAATCCTCAACTCCCCATATCACCCCCAGTCCAATGGGCTCTGTGAACGATCTAACGGAACCCTGAAACAAATGATCCGCACGTTCATGGACACCCAAAAGGACTGGGAGCGGTTCTTACCCCACCTACTGTTCGCGTATCGAGAAGTGCCACAAGAATCCACCGGATTCTCTCCGTTCGAATTATTATTCGGGAGGAGAGTGAGGGGACCTCTGGACTTGATACGGGAACACTGGGAGGGAGACGAAACCGTTAATGGCACCCCTATCTTACCATATGTGCTCGAGTTCCGGGAACGCCTGGAGAGGCTAACCCAGACCGTCCGAGACAATCTCCAGGTAGCGCAACAACGACAGCGCCGATGGTATGATAAGGGAGCCAGGGACCGCAGCTTTCAGGTGGGGCAGAAAGTCCTAATCCTGCGACCCGTCCACAAAGATAAGCTGCAGGCTTCCTGGCAGGGCCCATACAAGGTGGTGGAACAGATCTGTGACACCACCTATGTGATCGGCCCGATTACCGGCGTGGGAGGCAAACGCATGCTCCATGTGAACATGCTCAAGCCATACCACGAACGGACTGAGGAAGTCACCGCAATCTGTGCCCCTGCCACGGAAGATTTTGATAACCTACCCCTACCCGATCTCCTAGACCAAGAGGGCCAGAGCAGAGATCTGGGAGAGGTACAGTTAGGAGAAAGATTAAATACCCAAGAACGGGCCCAGGTACAAAAGTTGCTTCGGGAAAAGAAGGCCACGTTTTCCAATTTACCCGGCTATACCCGTTGGCTACCCATAAGGTAGAAACGTTAGATTCGACCCCCTTGCGCCAACCCCCCTACCGCACTCCAGAAGCAGTCAAGGAGAATATGCGCAAGGAAATTGAGGAGATGATTCAGCTAGGAGTAATAGAGCACTCGGACAGCCCCTGGGCCTGCCCGGTAGTACTGGTGCCGAAACGGGACGGGACGACCCGTTTCTGCGTAGACTACCGACGGCTCAACGATAAAACGACCTCTGACGCATATCCCATGCCCCGAATAGACGAACTCCTCGACAAGATGGCCAGGGGTCAATACCTAACCACTATAGACTTGTGCAAAGGGTACTGGCAGATTCCCTTAACGGAAGACGCCATCCCTAAGTCGGCTTTTGTCACCCCGTTTGGCCTGTATCAGTTTAAGGTTATGCCATTCGGGATGAAAAACGCTCCAGCTACCTTCCAGAGAATGGTGGACAGACTGTTAGATGGGTTCCAGGAGTATGCCTGCGCGTATCTAGATGATATCGCCATATTCAGCCACTCCTGGCACGAACATCTGGTTCACATAGGAGCCATTCTAGACCGAATCTGAGAGGCCGGACTGACCCTAAAACCCAGCAAATGCCATATCGGTATGGCGGAAGTCCAGTATCTGGGGCACCAGGTAGGGAGTGGGCAACAGAAACCCGAACCTGCTAAAATAGAGGCAGTCGCCCAATGGCCTACCCCTCGCACCAAGACCCAAGTGCTCACCTTTTTAGGGACCGCCGGGTACTACCGGAAGTTTGTGGCCAACTATAGCGCCCTCGCCAAACCCCTCACAGACCTGACCCGCAAGAACCTCCCTAAGTTAGTAGTCTGGGCCCCAGAGTGTGAGCAGGCGTTCCAACAGCTCAAGACGGCGCTGGTTAATTCTCCTGTACTTTCTGCTCCTGATCCAACTAAACGCTTTCTCGTCCACACAGACGCTTCTATGTTTGGATTGGGAGCAGTACTGAGCCAAGTTGGACCCGATGGCGGCGAGCAACCCGTAGCTTACCTAAGCCGAAAAC